CACACCGTGAGGATCACAGTATGAGGATCGTGTGATGTCACTGTGATCATCGCATGATCTCACGTGTTGACTGGGTTATGTCTGCAGTGTAACACCACTAAATGGATGTGTTATTTCACCTTTCAGTAAAAATGTCAACGAAAACGCTGTGTCCTGGCCTATATTGGGGGATGGGGCCCGTTGACTCGTGTTCGTCGGAGTGTAGTAATAAGATCGTATGAACGGGTTTGCCAAATCACAATGCAGAAAACAGAAGGAGGACCAGATCCGATACACTCGCAAGTTTCACAGTAGTTTCATTTTGAAGGGAATCTTGTTAACCAATGCCAGTAAGTGAACTTGAAGAAATCTTGATGGTGCCGTCTGACCTGCTGCACAACATTCCCAAAGATGATCAAAAACGACCCACCCTCTGTACACTCTTACTAGAAAGAGAGAGTCATTATTTCACTCATTCTATATCATACAGATGCTTTTCTGAAAAAAATGCTTATTTAAAAACTACCCAGTTTTAGCCCAGCCCTATTGAAATATAGGAATGGTCACACCTTCGACTAACCTTAGTATGTTGAGTTATTTATTTATCCCAGCATACCTCATATATGAATTAATACTTATAGATTAACTTAAACCTCTAAACCTTTGTCAAATACACTACACAACCACTGTGTTTACATTATATATTCCTTCCTATGGCCACAGCCATATCACCCTGTAGCCCAAGACTGGTCGCCCACTGAAGCTAAGCAGGGTTGAGCCTGGTCAGTACCTGGATTGGAGACCTCCTGGGAAAACTAGGTTGCTGTTGGAAGAGGTGTTAGTGAGGCCAGCAGGCGGTGCTCACCCTGTGGTCTGTGTGGGTCGTAATGCCCCAGTATAGTGATGGGGACATTATACTGTCAAAAAGGTCCTGACTCTCTGTGGTCATTAAAAATCCCATGGCACTTCTCGTAAAGAGTAGGGGTGTAACCCCGGTGTCCTGGCCAAATTGCGTGTCAGTCACTTGTCTATCATGGCCTCCTAATAATCCCCATCCACTTGATTGGCTCTATGACTCTCTCTCCTCTCCACCTGTAGCTGGTGTGTGGTGTGTGGTGAGCGCACTGGTGCCGTTGTCCTGTGGCTGCCGTCGCATCATCCAGGTGGATGCTGAACACTGGTGGTGGTTGAGGAGAGACCCCCCACATGATTGTAAAGCGCTTTGGGTGTACAGCAATACACAATAAAGTGCTATATAAATGCATCATTCCTGTGACTTACTCCATAAACAAACAGTGCACAAACATATTTTAACATTTAAGTAATTGTAAAGTAATTTAGTATCCTTACGAATGCTTGAGGAAGGGGAGAGGTCCAAGTGAAAAGGGGGAGAGGAGTTCCCCGCTGGTTCAAGTGTGGTTCTTTGAGCAAGCCGAGGTGTGCATGCTGTGACTGTGGCCAACAACACCCCTTTTGTATCAAAATTGGCACAACATTGTCTCGAGATCACTACAGTATCTTTTTTGAAGTTGCCAACTTTCATAGGTTTTTTATACATTAATACATTTCTTATAAATTCAGTTGAGTGCATCCACAGTCCACACATTTGAGTGGTGCTGTAGATGATGATGTGTGTTGACTGAGATGACTGAAATGAATGTGATTTGATTTCAGTCTCAAACTGAGCATACAAAGCATCAGATTAAATAGCAGTTTGAGAAGCTTCATCAGTTTCTCAGAGATGAAGAAGAAGCTACAATCACTGCACTGAAAGAGGAAGAGGAGCAGAAGAAGAAGATGATGAAGGAGAAGCTGGAGGAGATGAACAGACACATCTCAGTTCTTTCACACACAATCAAAGATACAGAGGAGATGATGAAAGACAATGATGTCTGCTTTCTGAAGGTCTGATTTCAGATCATGGACTGATTGAATGATTGATTGATTGATTGATTGATTGATTGATTGAGTGGGTTGTTGATGATAAATTGTGTTTTTGTTCTGCAGAAGTTTCCAGTCTCGATGGAAAGGTGAGTGATCTGCTGGTGTCTGGTCTCTCTGCTTCTGAAGTCAAAGCCACTGCAGTTCTGATCCTGAATGTTCTTCCAGAGTCCAGATCTCATCACAGTCGAATCCACAGATGCCTTCTGGAGCTTTGATTCATGTGCCACATTACTTGGGCAACCTGCCCTTCAGAGTCTGGAAGAAGATGCATGTCCAAAACAGTGAGTCTGGAGAAGATCTGTGCTCTTACATATACACTAGAAATGATGCATGCGAATATTTACAGACTTTAACATTATATGTATATAACCAGATGGGCTACTGCACCAAAATTAGCTGTAAACAATAGAAGAGAATGATATTTACAGTTACAATGTAGATGTTGAGAATGATATTCTACAATGTATATTTGCAATTACAATGTAGGTATTTACAATGTACAGTAGATCTCTACACTTTAGTTTGTGTGATCAGATAGTTTGATCAATAGGACCAATGTTCATAATTCATAATAATCTGTGTTTGGTTCACTCTTGATCATTATATGAACGTCATAATAAAAGCAGCTGCTGATTGTGTCTCATCAGCTCCTGTGATTCTGGATCCAAACACGGCTCATCCACGGCTCCTCGTGTCTGAAGATCTGACCAGTGTGAGATGGAGCGAGAACAAACAACCGTTTCCTGATAATCCAGAGAGATTTGATGATTATTACTGTGTTCTGGGTTCAGAGGGTTTTAACTCAGGAACACACTGCTGGTTTGTGGAGGTTAAAGAGCGTTTATGTAGAGTAACTACAGCATCTAACAAAAGGAAGGGGTGTGA